GGACCACCGAATCCTCTCCCTCCAAATCCAGTTCCTCTTTCAGTTGCGTAATTCACCCTAATTCTTCGACCATGAAGGTCCTGTATGCAAAAAAAGCCCCAATAAATGGCTGATTGAAAATACCACACAAAAAAAGGAACAACTTTAGCGTATTCTGACTCATCTAAACACAGTCTGCTACAAAGATTCATTTTGAACTGAGATATACAATCTACAAACAGAATGATATATTGCCCACATTCTGTTCCTTCATCGCAAGTTGCCACTTAATGGATGAATAGTATTACAAGCTGGATGATGATACCGACCCTACCTATGCTGCTAAAGTTTGAATGGGCAAAAACCTTAAGTGTTCTTGAAACATGCATCGTCAAGGCACAACCAATTTTGAAAAAGGTCACAAATCCAGAACAAGACATTGAAGGATAGAAAATAAAAATACATGAAAGAGGAATGAGCCACACGACATCTTAGTATCAAAAGAAGCTGAAATATGTGTGAGTTACCTGTCCATCCAATTGCATGGCATTACTAGCCTCCTCGGTAGAAGTAAATGTCACAAAAGCAAAGCCCCTCGATCTACCAGTTTCACGGTCCACAATGATTTTCGCTGCAAATGTTGAAAATTAGCCAGCTCAAGCTTCAAGATTAAAACCATGAAAAATTTATTCAGAAGTTAAAACTTCAAAGGCTAGATTTTTGCAATAACTTTAAGGGAGATAGCTAGCTACCATCAATAACCTCTCCATATTTGCTGAAAGCTTCTCTTAAGCCAAACTCATCAGTGCTGTAGGAGATACCTGAAGCAACATAAACAATTGTGAGACAAACAAGAGAGAAAGAGAACCAAAAGAGAGTACACTCTCACACACAAAGCCAAAATAGAGTTACAGTCACCTCCAACAAAGATTTTCGACGAAGACATGCAACGAATGCTCTGTAGCATTGAGCTAGAGGCAGTGACATGGGTGCTGGTCTGCCTAAATATCCTTCCAACTTTGCTTAAGAAAGCCATGTAGTGCGTATCTGTGTCCTGGAAGCAATCGAAAGAGCATTCACTAGGTGGTTAGACAAATAAAGAAACAAACCAAAATGTAGAAAGTGATTTTACAAAAGCAGAATCAATCAAATGATGAAACTCATGAATAAAACGTAAGAAGACCCATCAAGTAAATCGTCCATAGAAGCAAGAAAAATGCATCCTTTCATCAATTAAATCATGCAAAGTACAAGAAATGAACAAAAGCTTAGAAGGTCAACTCACTAAACCCACATATCAGCATCACTCAGAACCATGAAACGAAACATAAATCAAACAACATCTAAAACCCTAAATCAAGACTCCTATGATTGCAGAAGAGAATCGTACACAAAGAATTAGCAGAAAATCAACAAACAGGGAATAATCTAGTGCCGGATCAGCGAATGAAACATCACAATACCGAATCGAATCCATAGAATCAAAAGAGCTTAACAAATTAAACAGAAATAAGAAGAACAATCGACGAGACTATACCAACTCTGTAGGGTTTTACGAAGACAATCTCTCTCGAAGCGTCTTTCAATTCTCGCCTGTAGTGAAAATGTGAAAACCCTGAGGCCATGTAAGGAAAGGGCTTATGTCAAATAGTTCGCTCATCGTGTCCGTTCATTTATATCATCAGATAATATTGACCGTTGATTTCGATTCGCTCGCCGATCAGAGTAAACCAAAGGTAACCAATCGAATCGAAACCGGATTAAAATGAGTTTAATCTTTTTTTAATCGTAACTTAGCAAATTAGCAATGGCAAAAAATAGTTGATTAAAATTGGGTAACAATTATAATTATCAGAAACTTTTTTTTTTTAAAACTCCTAAACGCGTGCTTGTCCTTTAAACTCTCAATCTCCTGATTCCACAACACAAACAACATTTTCTCTATCTCTCAATCTTCCAAACTTTGTTTGTGAAAATTTACTAAAATTAATCTCTTCTTGCTTGTGTTCTTCGTCTTCATCGTTTTCCTCTGAAAACGTCAAGGTTAACTAAAATCTCTTCAAAAAACACCTTCATAGTTAATCTTCTGTGTTTCTTTCATTTTTGGAACCATGGAAACGTCACAAGAACAAAACTTTTTTAACCCCACGAACCAAAACTCAACCTCTAAACAAGAAACAGAAGAAGATCCAATCACAAGACT